AACCACTATTTTTAAAGGAGTATTATAAACACCACTATATTTATCAAACATGTCTTTGTCAGATGAGTTGTTGCTAATCTTAGATTTTATAGATGAGGGTAAATGTTTGATTAAAGATGGAGGGTGGTATTTTTTTTTTTTTTTTTTAAGCATTTCACCCCCAAGCAAGGTGGGAAACCTCTAGGATGCAAGGGGTTACAGAAGATTTGGAGCGAGAGCAGATAGGAATGTTAGAGGAAAGAATGAGGAGAAGAATAGTGGATAGAGCAAGGCAACTGGAGATGTTGATTTTCATTACATTTGAATAGTTGGAGATTATAGCTATCAGAGAAACAGGAAAAGGGGATAAGTGTGAGATATGAAGCTATTGGAGTAGAAGAAATGGCTACATTTAACAGTTTCAACAGTGAAAGTGTGAGAGCAGGATGCCAGCCTTGTAGGACATTTGAATTCATGACGTCTGGGAACCAGCAAAAACAGCTCATCAAGGCAATTACCATGAAAATATTTGTAAAAAAGACAGAGAGAGGCAACGACACGTCTCTGAGAGAGTGACGTGAGACAAGATGCCAGATCAGGGCCAATTATATTGCATATCCGTCTCTGGATCTTATCAAGAACCCCGAGGCAAGCAGAAGGGGCTCCAGGCCATATATGGCAGCAATACTCCATGCAAGGGTGAATAATTGATTTGTAGATTTGAAGGATTGATTTCGGTGAGAAAAATTTCCTGAGGTGGCACAGGGAGACAACTTTCCTTGTGGCAGACGAAGCAATTGACTCAATATATTTGTTCCATCTCAGGTCAGCAGTCAATGTGAGACCGAGCAGCTACAAGGAGGTGCTCTCGAGAAGTTGAGTGTCAGACATTCTAATGGGGGGCAAGGAAGGATCTCTGTGGTGATAGAGAGCAGTTTTGTTTTTGAGGCATTAAAGTTAACCAGCCAATTCCTGCCCCAGTTCACAACTGATTGGAGGTCCTTTTTGAGACGAACGGCCAGGTTAGTTTTGTCAGCGACACTAGATTTGTTTTTGAGGAAGGAGTAAATTATAGTGTTGTCCATATGTTTGGTTGAATAATCTAGATATATTATGTCTATTCTTATTTTAGTCTTCTCAAATTCACAGATCAATTTCTTAGTGCTGTTACAAAACTGAGTAAAAAAGATGCTGTAGTTTTTTTTCTCATTCCTTTTATCTTAGCAAGTACTTTCAATCTCAACCAAGATGAATTTTTAAGACAAAAATTAATGTAATTGATAGTTGTGAATTTTTTTAAGTGTGCATGAAGATTAAAATAAAAATAAATAGACATATGTCTAGATTATTCAACCAAACATGCTTGAATGAAGATATGCTGACTATATATATATATATATATATATATATATATATATTAGTGCTGGTGTTAGTTAAACAGTGCTCAATATAATAAAAAAGAGATTAATTAATAAATATACATACATATTACCCTTCACTGGTAGCATGACTCGTTACGCTAATGGTGAATGATTTTATATATATATATATGAAAATTTCTCTGATTTAACCAGTAGAGAAGACAATATTTATGAATAAAAATGACAATAGGAAAACTGGTAATTGCTGACACGTTTCGTCCAATGTGGACTTTATCAAAGCAAAATACGAAATATCATATTTTGCTTTGATAAAGTCCACATTGGACAAAACGCATCAGCAATTACCAGTTTTCCTATTGTCATTTTTATTCATAAATATATATATATATATATGATCAAAATATAGTTTTAAAATATACTTTAACCCATAATTAAAGCATAACATAAAACTATATTTTTATCATAAACATATATGCCATCAGTCAACTAAGTGAAATAGTTTATTTTATTTTATATATATATATATATATATATATATATATATATATATATATATGATTTATATATTTGATTTGTTCCAAATATCAGCCCATTAGTTTTCTACCTCTAGTACTAGAGGCCCTAATCAATTCCAAATTAGTGATGCATCTCACAACACAGGGTCTTCTTTTAGATAAGCAATATGGCTTACACTTCTCTAGGTCAAATGCTGATGTTTTAATGCTTATTGATGAAAGATTCTATAAAGTTTTAAATAAAAATTGTGAAGCTCAGGCCATTGCTTTTGACATCTTAAAGGCATTTGACAGCATTTGGCATGATGGACATCTTTGCAACTTGAAAGTTTATGGTATTTCCAGACAGTCTTATCAAATCATGAAATGAAAGTTGTCCTGAGCAGCCACACTTCTGGGTCTTTTTGCAGTAATGCAGGGTTCCCCCAGGGTTCTATTCTTGGACCTACACTGCTAACCAATTTTCAACAATGACCTTCTTGATGTCATCAGTTCTCAACTCAATATCTTTGCTGATGATACAACTATTTACTCATGTTTTAATAGTAAGTCTAATTAGTTCAATTAGGTCAAATTGGCAACTGATCTAAAAAAAAAAAAAAAACTAAAATCTGCTGTCAACTGGGGTAAGGCATGGCTTCTTAATTTTAATGCTTCCAAAATGAAACTACTTCTCTACCAATTATCTGAGAGACCCCTTTCTGCCTTTCATCAGCATGGCTAATGCTAACACCCAGGAGAGTAACTCATTGTGGCTTCTCAGGCTAACAATTTCCTCTGACATGAAGTAAAAAGATTATATTGAATCAATTGCTAGGTCTGCTGCTAAGTAGGTTGTTTACTATATTATGCTAGACAATTTGTCTCTCCAGAATCTATCTTCCAGATTTATAAGTCTACCATTCATCCATGCATTGAATATTCCTGGTCTGGTCTGGTGCTCCTGATATACATTTAGAGATTTTTGATAAAATCTAAAGAAGAATCTGCAATGTTTTTGGTCCTGACCTGGCATCTCACTATGTGCATTTACTTTCATGGTAATTGTTCTGATGAGCTTTCCTCTATGGTACCTAGGCTTTATGAATTTAAGTGTAGTACTAGATTAGCGATAAGGTTTCATGGTTTTACAAATGAAATGACTAGATGTAACCATAAGTTTTGTACTAATAGTTACTTCTATCACACTTCTTGCTTGTGGAACTCTCTTCCAGCTTCTAACTTGCCAGTCAACTTTCATCTTCAAAAATTTAAATGTAATATAAATTGTTATCTTCTATCTTCTTAATTCTTGTTTTTTTCTCCTTAATAGTTTTTCACATACTCTCTAACATTCAGTAATCTCTTGTGTCTTAGCTTTATTGCCTTGCTTGGAGTGAAATGATTTTTAAATAAAAAAAAAATTGTGGCAAACATCATGAGCCAGAACCAGAGTCAAAATGGTGAACAGGACTTGCCTTATTCTCGATGAAAGAGTGTTCGTCTTTGTCTGGCATGTTGGACTTCAATTTGAGAGAAGGCGAGTATGCTGTCCAATCAAAAGAGACCCTTCTTATTTGTTGTCCCCACAAGAAATTGATTCATTAACAACTGTGTATAATATTAGCTTGGTTGGACAGAATCAAGGAGTGACATTGTGTTAGTGCTCCCTTCTGAGGTTCCCACATGTCTAGTTTGTCTATCATCTGGGGTGAATGACTGGTGATTCCCCCATTATAATTAGACCATCATGGAGATGAGAGAGGTATTCAGTTAGGGTACACCATTTTATATGTACAGTTGTGATAGGAGGAACAAATGACGAAATGGATACAGCGAAAAATAACGATAAATACCAAAAAACTGGTGTAGAGGGAAGAAACGTCCAATCTGAAATTACATCCCAAAGCTAACTTAATAGACATAATATGTCTAGATTATTCAACCAAACATGCTTGAATGAAGATATGCTGACTATATATATATATATATATATATATATATATATATATATATATAGTGCTGGTGTTAGTTAAACAGTGCTCAATTTAATAAAAACAGAGATTAATATAAGAGTGCTCTATTTTAAATACTTTTTAAAAGAGTTTTTTAATAGACATAAAAATGATATTTTTGATTATTTAACCATTAACTGTTTCATACATTTCAGTGCAACTTTCAAAATAGGCATTTGTAAGCCCTGAATGTTCTCATATATTGCAGTTCCTTTTTATGTTTTTTTGAAAGGAATGTGTCAGTATGCTGACACTTCTGTATAACACACACACACACATATATATATATATATATGACACAAATAAACAATGAGATCACAATAAAATATATATGCAAGTATAGCAACAAATAAATATGGATATATGAAAATCTAACTAACCAAAAGGGAGCTAATCTACTCATAATGGTTGAGCTACAGTCATCATTCAAAAAAAATTATTTAGTTTTTATTTCATTTGTTTATATTCTTCTGTCTTTTTCTCTGCTTCCCTAGTCTTTTGCAATTTTACTTCATTTCTTCCTCTACGTTTTATTTTCCCTGGATTACCCCCCATCTATCTCCTCCTCCTCTCTTTCCACTCTCTATATCACTCCCCTTCTCTCTATCTTTCGGATCTACTCTGTTTTCTTCTTTTTCTTTATTTTTCTCTTTCTCTCCCTCCTCCTTTTTAAGCTCACTTTACTTTAAATCCCTTTTTATTTTAACTCTCAACCTTATACTTTTTTTCTCCATGTCACTTGTCTACACTCTCTTTCTTTCTCTCATCTTTTATCTATGCTTCTCTCTTTTGCTGTAGTTCTGCTTTTCTAATTCATTCTTTTCCTCCCTATCTTCCTTCCTTCTATTGCCTACCTCCACCATCCACTTTCTAATCAATTGAAGGAAGAAGAAATATAAGTAGAATAAAAATAAAAAAAGAGAATGGACATGGTGGGGTTGGTATGAGAAGACGTTAGTCTGGGTAGGTGAAAGGTAAGACCAAATCAGACAGGAGAGAGGGATAGAAGAAGGATGCATAGTGCTCTTGGAGGAATCAGAATGAATTAAAGAAATGATCAGGAAAAGGTTGGCACTGTGCCATGGCGCCTACTGTTTAACCACTCAGCAGTGCTGATGATTCTCTCACTTTTATTGTTTGTTCAGGCTTGCCTCACAATTTCTCCTTCGTGCAGCAAAGTGAAGTGATATATTAAAGATTGGGATAGAGCTGTATGGAAAGAAGAAAGGAAGGAGAGACTGAGTGGAACAAATAGAAAGAAAAAAGTGAAAGAAAGTGAAAATGATAGAAAGAAGGAAGGAAGGAAAAGTAGAATGAAAACTGAATGTAAAAAGAGAATGAAACCCTGAAGTGAAGGAGAGACTAACAGGAAAAAAGAGAAAGAACAATGAAGGAAGGAAGGAAGGAAAAGTAGAATGAAAACTGAATGTAAAAAGAGAATGAAACCCTGAAGTGAAGGAGAGACTAACAGGAAAAAAGAGAAAGAACAATGAAGGAAGGAAGGAAGGAAGGAAGGAAGGAAAAGTAGAATGAAAATTGAATGTAAAAAGAGAATGAAAATCTGGAGTGAAAGAGAGACTGACTGGGAAGGCAAGAAAGAAAAATGAAAGAAAGTGAAAATGACAAAGCTGATACAAGGAAAGATGTGTAAAAGTAGAATGAAAACTAAATGTAAAAAAAAAAAAAGAATGAAACCCTGAAGTGAGAGAGAAACTGAAAAATAAAGAAAAATTGAAAGAAAATAAAAAGTAGAGATATGATAATGAAGGAAAATGAAATTAATTCAAGGGAGTAAATATAAGAAAGTAGCAGATGAAAATTATTAAAAAAAAGGACATAAAAAATAAAAGCAAAATGAATGAGAAGAAACAAGTCAAAAGCAAATACATATATTTTCAGTCTATCTTCATATTTGTCTTTTTTTCTGCCCTTTACTCTAAAGTTTATTTCATGTGCACTATTAAAAGATTTTAAGTTCTGGTGGCTGGATTCTCCTCTCACTTTGCATTGTAAAGCATCATAACTGACATCCCATAGTTCTGGGCTCTATTTCAAGGAATGAATCACTGCCCTTAAAACACTTCCCTCATTTTTAGGTAGTGAAGTCAGAAAGTGTCATTGCCTCTAAGATTCTGTGAGAAGTTTCATTGGCTGTGGCCAAGTTTAAATAAATGCCTCAAAAGAATTTCAATAATTGTATTTGCTATTATATCATCTGAAAGAAAAAGTACTGCTAAATAGTTTCATTCATGGTATGATATAGATAAAAATACAGTAGAATCCCTGAGAACTGAACAAAGGAGGACTTCCAGATGTGAAAAATTAGTTACAAAGTATGGATATGAGGGGTTATATTTAGATTGAAATAAAAGAACTGAAATCAGGTTTAACATTTATTTTCAATGTTTTATAGTAAACAAAATAAGCTAATGGTGAGTGAAATATAACGGAATTGATTTTAAGGGAAAAAAAATTATGTTAATGAAATTTCATTAAATTAATCATGCCATGTATGCAAAACAAATAATGTAATGAGGATTTTTTAATCACTGTTGCATGATGATTCTTTCTCTTCTAATGTCATTTTCAACTTTTTCCACATTTTGTTTTGCCTTCATTCTTGAAATTTTTTAAACAAAAGACACTTTTTAACTGTGTGCGATATTGCAATCATCATAACTAAATGCTGGCTTTCTTTCCATAAAACTGACAACCTTTACAATAACTCTTTCAGTTTCAGTCCAGGTTTCATCACATTCATGCATCTCATCACTATCTTGTTGCAGATGTGTCTCATCACCCTTTCCTCTTATTTCCATCATCTTTTGCATCAATACAAGCCATAAGCCAATAAGTTTAAGCAATTATCCAAAGTAAATTTCCTGATAAACAAATTTTCTATTCTATTTCAATTCTACTGTAATAATAAAATATTGTCACTGATTATCTTCTGATATGTACATGAAATAAGCTTTAGAGTATAGGGCTATAAAAAAATGAAAATATTTTTTATTGCATTCTATAGTATTTAGAAGTCAGAGAAAAAAAGATGTGTGCTTTTTTTCATCTCCTTTGCAAGAACACCTTGGTTTAGCAGTTTTAGAGAAACAGGTGCGAACATAGGGTCAGGTGTTATATGACCTCAAATATAAAGCATTTTGACTAATTTTCTCTATTTTTTTTTCCCTTTTGTCACAATATTCTGGACCAATTCACTTCTCAACTATTAAAGTAAACTCTATGAAATCAAAATAAAGAAATACCATTAAGTAAGATTCAAACTCTTTGAAATTAAGTAATATTTCCATCACTTGAAAGCTCATCAAGGATCATGTCACCAATTCTGAATTTACATTGTTTACATTAACGGTCAAAGGGTGATAAAATGCTAAAATAGATAAATAACTTAATATTAAAAATATAGGACCACAGAATCTGACAAACAAATTCATAGGTTGATGGTTTGGTTGGCAATAATATTGTAGTAAAAATCATCAAAATATTCAAGGAAATTAGTCCATAAACCCTTCTGTAAGAGAATAAACATCTTATATCCTCTGTGGTTGCTATAAAGGCATTGTAACAAATACATGCACAAGACTATATGGTGCATGCCTAAGATAATGTAATAAATCCATACATAAAGCAATGTAATGCACACAAATGCCAAATACAAGGACTGCTAGAAGCCTGCACCTGCATAAACTCTATGTCCAGTTTGAAATGACACACTTCTGAGTATATGTCTGTAGAAGTCAAATGACTTACCTGCTGACATGGCTGCCTTCTTGTGTCTCTTTGTAAAGGCTAGCCAGCTAATCTACCTTATTTATAGGAGAATGCAGCAGGTGGGTTAGTCCATTTTGCTAGAATGGACCTTCCCACCACATTTGCATGAGTGAACTCTATTCACCCGTATATATCTCTCCATCAAATCACTCAGAAAAAATTCAGCTTGACTACACCAGTCTACTTGTGTCTCAGACCATTTGCAAGTTAAACAATATTCCACAAGGCGCTGTGAACAGGATTCGAACCTGTGAGGGCATTGCCTATTGGATTTCGAAAAATCTGCTTCCTTTCACCTATCAAGAAGAATCAAAGCATTTGAGAGAAGAAAGTAGATAGAAGATATTCCAAAAAATTAGATTGCCTTCAGGAAGTTGTTTGCATTTCCCATGTGTAAGAGAATGTTGAAGTCTCCTTCAAAATCCCACATGTGGTTACTATAATAACCTTCAGAGGTATATTTGCTGTTCATAGCTCAAACATTGTCTCAGACTCTTGCTTACATTGAGTAATTATGTAGAATAACTGTGGGCACATTCAGTAAACTCATGAAGGAAACGGAGAATGTAAATGTATTAGTGAAGATGTAGCATGGCTAATTACTTACAACAGAATAAAGATACTTCCAAAAAATGAAGTAAAATTTAAATCTGTCATTTAGTAAATATCATTACTCACAGTTTACTAGAAAGGAGTACAAGCATATTGACTTAAAAGAATCCACCCAATAATTTTAGTGATTGTTGAGTCTTTTGATCTCTAGCGGCTACACAGAACTTATTTGCTACAGATTTTTATAAAGTCTGTATATACTTTGAAATTTCGAACCAAACCTCTTTATTTAGTCTATGGGGGTAGATTGTTCTAGTTCAATGCCTACCTCCATGGACTAAATAAAGGGTTTGCTTTGAAGTTCAAATGTATATCACCTGAAGAATGCCAGAGTGTACAACAGCCGAAACATCATGAATATGATAATAAAGATGAGGGCAACAGTCCAAACAATGTAAATAGTTCCAACACTTCATCTTAAAAATATAGACAGAGTCTGTCTGAAGTTATTATGCAAATTACATAAAACTCAATAACTCAAATTCACTTTGAAATTTTATGTCAAATTTTAAACAATTAATTTAGACATCAAAACAAATCTTGAGTTAAATTTTTAGGTAGTCTCAACATGTTTTATAAAAGTTGTTTTAATTATTATAAAAACTGCAGTCTAAAAGAAAGTAGCTGCATGATGATATAGGCTGGAATTGTTGACCAAACTAATATTGAACCATTCAAAGCAAATGAAGAATAGTATTAACTATTGTGATTTCATAGACAAAACTTTCTTTGAATGGTACAAAACCCAGCCTAGCAGTTTCAAAGTGAAGTGTGTATTTATGCTCATTCTAATGCATATAAGGTGAAACATGTACTTAAAAAAGAAAAGATAGAGAACAGGACAAAAAACATGCTCATCAACAGGCTGCATAAAATCCAAGAACAGAATGCTCATTAGAGAAAGAAAAAATACTTCAGCGATGGAACAAATATATTGAAGACCTCTTCCATGGTGAAAGAGAACAACCGACAATACACAGAAATACCAACAGACTGGAAATATTAAAAACCAAAGTGGAAGCTACACTGGCCAAACTGAACAGAAACAAAGCAGCAGGGCCAGACAGAATTGTAATAGAGATGCCAGAAGTCTTGGACAATTTTAGCATAGACAGAAATAATAAATGAAATCTACAACAGTGGTGATATACCAGAAGACCTAACAAGACCTATTTTCATAGCACTGCTTAAAAAACAAGGTGCAAATGAAAGTGAACTCCACCAGACAATCAGCCTAATGAGCCACATAACAAAACTCATCATCCGAATTCTGATGAATAGAGCCCACAGCAGAATTAGGCTAGAGATTGGAAAAGGACAGTGTGGATTGGTCAAAGACACTGGAACACAGAACACGATATTTATGCTTCGAATGTTAACAGAAAGAGCAATACAAACACAGAATAATGTGTACCTTTTTTATAGACTACGCAACGGTGTTTGACAAAATACATCACAAACATCTATTAGAGCTGCTCAGCAATCTTGACATATTTGGGAATGACATTAGAATTATCAAGAATTTATACTGGCAGAAAACTGCCTGTGTATGGACAGAAAATGAGTTCAGTAGATATACAAAAATAGAAAGGGGAGTAAAACAAAGATGCGTCTTCTCACCAGATTTATTTAACCTTATACAGTGAAGCAATTCTGAGTGAATTGGAAATCCTAGCAAGATTCATTATTGGCAGCCACAATCTTAATAATATAAGATATGCATATAGTACAGTGCTGATAGCAGACATGGAAAAGAAACAAAAAAACAAAACCTACAGAAGGTAGTGAAGGAAAGCGAGAAGAAAGGACTAAGCATAAACTACAAGAAGACAGAATGAATGGTCATCAGCAAAAGGATGAGCCCAAAATGCAAATTACAGATTGGGGACACTAAAATCAAGCAGGTACAGAAATTTAAATATCTGGGAAGTGTTCTAACAGAGGATAGAAAGTACGAATCTGATATCCGAAAATGTATTTGGATGGCTAAAGACACATTCCAAAAGTTAAGCAAAGTATTAAGAGACAGAAAAGTTTCATCAGAAACAAAGAAAAAAGAATGGAACTGTTACATGATATCTGTCCTCCTGTATGGCAGCGAATATTGGACAATGTCAAAGATGAAGAAGAGACTCAAAGCAACTCATACTTACTATCAGAAAGAGACAGTTGAAATTTTTGGGATATGTAATGAGGAAGGAAGGCTTGGAAAATCTGATACTCACAGGATGTACAGAGGGAAAGAGGGGAAAGCAACATGTGACATACTTGATGGGCTTGAGCAAATGGATGACAGACCAGGGTTTGGGAGAAATAACAAAAAGACAAAACTTATTAAGAGCTACAAGGGACAGGAAGATGTGGAGGGCTATGATCGCCTACATTCTGAAAAGACATGACATATAAAAGAAGTAGTAGTTAAAACTAACAAAATCAATGGATAATTCATTTCTGGCTGTTATTGAGAAGAGTCACTATATTAAGATGTAAATGCTTCAAAGATTTATCATATATGTTTGTTATTTGTTTATTATAGGTGTTGATCATTTGTTGTTTTTATTACCTTGTTATTGAAGTAAAAAGTAATTTTCTGGTTTGCATAATAACTTCAGACTGCAGTTTTTATAATAAATCCAATAACTTTATAAAAAAACATTTTGAAGCTACCTAAAAATTTAACACAAGCTGTATTTTGACATCTAAAGTAATTGTTTAAAACTTAACAAAAATTTTTCAAAGGAAAATAGAGTTATTGAGGATTACGCGATATGCATAACTTCAGACTGTAGATGAGGTTGTATTTTTGAGTTGACTTACTACCACCTGTTGCAAAGTTTTGTAGTTGTATGTTTTTAGAGGAGACAAATTGAAAAGTTTTAGAATTTACTCAAATCAACAGTGATCAAGAGGTGCACATAGTATAGTGGTTATCAACATGTAAAGAGGAATTGGCATGCAGAGTTCAAATTCCAGCTAAAAATGTTGCATTTATTTTTGCACAAATTTTTATAGCAGTAGACTTGTTAAGAAAGATGAAATGTCGTATGAACCGAGATGCAAATTTACCATAGGAAACTCATAGATTAGTACCCTTTATATATATATATATATATAAACAGATATATATCCCTTTATATATATATATATATATATATATATCCCTTTCTATACATTTCTATATAAACATATATCCCTTTCTATACATTTCTCTCTCTATATATATATGTATATTTATATAACATATATCCCTTTCTATACATTACTTATATATATATATATATATATATATATATATAACATATATCCTTTCTATACATTATATATATATATATATATATATATATATAATATATATCCCTTTCTATACATTATATATATATATATATATATATATATATATATATAATATATATATATATCCTTTCTATACATTTATATATATATATATATATATATATATATATAACATATATCCCTATTTCTATATATATATATATATATATATATATATATATATATATATATATATATATATATTATACATATATCTTTATATATATATATATATATAATATATATCCCTTTCTATACATTGCTATATATATATATATATATAAAAAACATATATATCCCCTTCTATACATTTCTATATATATATATATATAAACATATATATCCCTTTCTATACATTTTCACTTTTAGCAATTGCTTTTTCTTTCAATTAAAACTACAAAAGGGATCCTTTAGAAAACAACACATACATTAGTCATTCATTGTAATGATTCTGACAGTAATTTTGAATTTTGATTGGTGGTGGCATATGTAAGTTGGTTTTGGCTGAAGGGCAAATGTAGTTTCATTAGTCTTTCATTAACAGGCAGGTCACAGATCTGTTTTATTAAGCAAATCCCACTCCTTAAACTTTGTCTTCATTCTGCATTTTCCCTCTCCTGAATTTGGAACTGCTGTCAAGTTCAATGAGCAACCTGGTTTCACTCAGTGCTGCAATGGCTATGTTGTAGCAAGTGAGTTCTTTACTTATTAGAATTGTTTTCCTATAAAATCTTTGTTGTGTTTTCCTTATTCATTAAGGTGAGAAAGTTTTCCATGTTGCAAAAAAAAAGTATCTTTTATTTTCACCACACAGATTACTAGCCCTGTTTCCACTGCATATGTGTTGTACCTTTCAGAGGCTTATGGCTTTGATATAACAGGCCTTGCATTTGCTTCTCTTTTCAATTGTTCTCTGAATAACCATATCCATGACTATTTAGGCTTACAACCATATCATATTGAAACACTGGTTCTCATACAATCACAGAAGTTAAGCAATATTGAGCCTGGTCAGTACTGAGGTGGGTGAGTATTTGGGAAAATCAGGTGCTGTAAGCTTAGATGTGTAGGTTATGTAATGGATAATGGCTCAGAATTGAAAATTGGAGACCCCAGTTCCAATTCCAGTTGGCTTCATTATATTCACTTATGCACAAATATGCTTGGAGAAAGTATGAATCCACCTCTCCCCAGCTATGGGTTAATTAGTATGACATGTAACAGTAAATCATTATGTCCAAAAAATTCTTACAAGCTAAAAAAATATTTTCTGGCTTTAAATAACCTGCAAATTAGCCATGAAAAAATAAATCAATGTACTACTTAGAGAGGGATTGAACTCACAATTATTAGGCTATCAAATTCACAAACCAATGACTAGCCTGTTTATAAATAATATAAATGATAACTCTGCCTCCCAATAATTCAGGCAGAAAATATACAAACAAGTAAAATGATATAAATTCTTTGCAAACATTTGCATCTTTGTTCCTTTTTTTTTTCTTTCATACTCAACTTAGGAGGAGCATGGCAGCATTTGATTGTTGCTGCTAAACCAACCATGGCTTCTGACAAAAAAGCGATTTTGATGCAGTCTCAAATTCTATATATTGACCAAGACATCCTCTCACTGAAAACTGAATTCTTTTTGCTGATAAAGTCCATATTTTGGCAAAAGTCTCTTAGACCCTGACATTATCAAAACTGTATGAAAATGAAATAAAACCAATAAATAAAATAAAAAAGAATAAAAAAAATAAATTCATTTTCCCATGATGCAAGTTATAAACAAAGCAGAAAGAGTTTCAGGTTACATGTGCAATTTTATGACCTAACTTCCAGAAAGAACAGAATCTTTCTCTTTCCAAAGATATCGTCTCTACTCATGAAGTAGAGATTTGGCTATCCCATCTCAGAGTGAGGCTAACTTGAACTCCACCATCTTTACCTGTTCTTATCCTGACTTCCCATAAATTATTTCCGAACCAAAAAGGAAAAGGGACATTTAACTTTGTTTCTATACAGTCAATATAAAAGAAATGAACATACATAGCAGAAAGTTTTTTTTTTGTATGCTTCTTTTACACTTTCTTTGTTTACATATTGAACACACACTTTCACTTAAAAATACACACAAAACCCACAACCTTGTTAACATCTACAAAACCCATGTGTTGACCCACTATTCTTTATCTCAGTTAACTTAGTGCTTGGAATCCTCTATTTGAATCAACAATGTTGATTTCCATTTAACTGGTTTTTTAACATGAGCTGCTACCCAATGAGTGTTAGAAAAAATGCTCTCACCCCTGCATTCAACAACCTTATCTTCCCTGGCCACTATAACACTATTCAAATACAAAGGGACAAGATTTAATATTATCTATCCTACATATCCTCATAATCTGCACTTAATTCCTCTGCTTACATCCATATAACAATCTCATTCATTAATTGTAATAAAAGACATGGAGTAGTCGTTGTCGAATATTAAGGGACAAAAGTCCACTTATGATGGTATCTCTTATGGCCTTGGAACTATGTTTGAACTGGGGAGAGTTTCAAATATCTGAGGTCACAGAATTTTTTCGATATTTCTCAGAGATCAAGATTGCATTACTGAAAAGTATTTATGATTTGTGCAGAATAAATTGTAATAAAAGACATGAAGCAGAGTAACCCAAATTAGGTTTTATTCTGAGCAATAGAACAGTTAGTACAAATAAAACTATTTATAAGCAGACACAGTCCATTTTTTACTATAGGCACAGGGAGAGAAGGAATGTTCACCACAGTAATCATCTACCTTGAGTGGCTCTTGGCCTTGTATTTAGTAAAATTATTTCAAGAGTAGACTAAGCAGCATTCATCAAACTGTTTGAAAGAAACATCATGCTTATTTTTTAATCTTAAAATGTTGGCAACTTTTAACTTTCAGAAAGTAATACTAATATTAAGGTGTTCACAAAGTAATTACACTTTAGCAGAAAGGATATCACAACAAATGTAAGTTAAATTTATTTAAATATTAGGGTATTCAGAAAGTAATTATGTTTTATTGGAAGAGATATAAAAATAAATATAGGTTAAATTTATTTAAATATTATTATCAAAACTGTAATGATGAAGTTCATTTTTAATGATTGCAGCCCAACAGGAAGATGAATTCTACATTTAATAGAATCTGTACATTATCCTCAAAAGTCTTCAAGACTGTTTTCAATTTCTTTGTTTCTGTATGTTTGGCTACTTATGAAATGTTCTCATGATTGAAATAAATGAAAATCAGTAGATGTTAAATCTTCCGAGTATGGAGGATATGAAAAGAACCTTCCATCCTGATGATCTTTTCTCTTTAATACTTGATAGCAAAAAACGTCAATAGCAATTCTGCTAACATGTCCCAGGAGCTTGTAATGGTTGATATCTTTCATATTTCATGAAACACAAAGTAAGAACTACTGCAAAAGAAGTTCTGGTTTTTATGTTGGCACTAGTTTCTCATTTTTGATAGCCAGTCTTTTTTTTTTTGTCTTGTTAACATGCAAAACCCATTTTTCATCACTTATAAAAATATGACGCAAAAATGAAAGGTTACCATTCCTGGTTACTTCAGATGTCAGAATGTTGAATTCAGTTCTCATGTGAAAGTTCACAAGGAACCCAAATTACACCATTGCAAGTTTTCTCAATACCGAAACAAGACATATTCTCAGATAGAAGAAACGATAAACTAATTCTAAATGCAATTTCATAGCATGCAACCATGTTTCTGCCTTGGTTAGTTGACTCATAATTCATAGCAGTGAAATACATAATTACTTTCCAAACACCCTAATGTTTTAAATGTGAAAAATGTAAAAAATTTTAAATTTATTTGAAATGTTTTACGTTTATAGCCTTTACCATTTTGAAGTTATAATGTAAGTTAAAATAACAGATGTAAAAAGACAACTTATTATTTGGTTCTGTTATATTCTGTTGATTTGTAAGATTTCTTATTTTGTCTCTATCATTACCAGGAGGTCTTCAGGTTCTCCTCAGAAGACAATGACCATTCATTATGTATGCTTTGCAATCATTCCCATCCTAAATAAAAAAAAAAATCAAAAAAAAAAAAAATCAAAGATTTCAATGTACTAAAAAGAAATCAAAATTTCAATACATCAAAAGTAATTTATTTTTAAAATAACCCACTTACAATTAAAAAAATGTATTTTTAAATTTCTAAGTTTTAAAGAAAAAATAAATCAATTGGTTGTTGGGTCATTTTTCTGCATTTTGGAAATGTATTTTTTTTTTTTTTATAACTTTTTAATTTTTTGTTCCCCCTTTTTTGTCGACTTATTTCAGCAATTAATTACTCTTTGTTATCATTATCAATTTCTCCCTTTAAAGAATTACTTTTTCCATTTGTTATTATTTTGGGTAAATTATATTGAAGTCAATACAAAACATGATCTTTTTTTTTTTGTATTAAGGATTTTATTGTTTTTCAACTATGAAATTTGAAGAAAACTTTCTTTAAGAAATGATTTTTTTTAGGGGAGTTTTCTCTGTAAAAATAAAACAAAAAGACAAAACTTTACTGACAGACATTTTGGATTTATTTAAAGTTGAGAAGAGTAGCCAACAGAAATAGACAGAATTTTTCTGAATCAATATAAAAGTTTTTGGCAATATTTATCTCTTCCTGAATCTATACTTACTTGTTAGACCTATAATTCCAAAATGTTTGAAATTATTACGGTATTATTTAGACTGTATAAAAATGCTTCCTACTGATCCAGGATACCTACCATAATACAATGGAAAGCATGACATTGCTTTAAGAGTTCAATTCTCATTTTTTTTAAGATGTCTGTAAAGATGGTTTAATTATATAATGATTACAGATGAATTTAATTTTTTTCTTCTTTAATTCCTGATTCATTTTTAATTGTAAATTAATTATTAATTTATTCAGGCAGACTAATCATTTTCATTAAATTCAAATGGGTTGAATGTTACAATCAAATCTTTTTTTCTATCTCTTTTGTACCCCTCCACTTATATATATATATATATATATATATATATATATATATATATATATATATATATATATATATATATGTGTGTTTGTTAAATCTTGTTAAATCTTGTTTTTTGTGTGCAAACAACACATTTCTTTTTTGGGACATACTGTATGTTGAAACTGTACAAATGATTGCTCTGACCACTTTTGTCTCAGATTTTGGTTGAGCTCAAATACACAAATATATATATATATATATATATATATATATATATATATTAAGAGGCGTATTGGGTAGTGGCTTGGATTGAAGAATTGGAGAGCCGAGTTTGAATTCCAGTTGAATCCAATACATTCACTCACATGCTAATACCCTTGGGAAACGTATGAATCCTCTTCTCCCTCCAGCTATTTGTAAATAGCAGGACAGACTGGGTTCTATAGCCTTGGATGGTAACTGGTCTAGAAGGAGGACAACTGTGAATTCAAAACCTGCAGAGGTTTGTTTGGGAACCTTGTAGCATGTAGTGCACCAGGTCTCTGTATTTGGCCCTTTAACAAGTGTGGATGGTTCTGCACAAAACCTTCACCATGAAAATCAAATCATATGTGCTGGTGTCTGGTTCCGAGGAACTGAGCTGCTTGACCCTCATACATCGAATATGATGGGAAAGTTCACCATATATTGTTCATGTTGTAGCATACTGATGGACAATAATGGGTATGTCCCCATTCACATAAATACAGTAGTGAATACTGTATGTATTAGTCGGTTGGCCGGCCTGCAGTTGGAAATTCATTGTGGAATTCACTTGACTCACTTCTAGCAGTTGACTACTTCTATATGCTGCTGGCAAATATTATATGGGTTGTTCTTGTCCTAAGTATTATCATTCATTACCAACCTTCATGTGATTATTCTATTCAGTAACCTTCTCTAGGTTACAACAGTTTAAAATGTATTATGTTTGTGGGAGACAAAAGCTTAATATAGATAGAATGTTTATAGATACAGAAAATGTGGGCATAGGAATCAACAC